ATGTGTCTAGTCCATTAGAAGAAGCTACCATTGCTAGGAGAACCTACCTTTTCTATACTTCCCAGTGCGGACAAGAATACCTTTCATACCAGATTTGATTGCTCCAAGAACATCGTCCTTAGCGTCATCACCAATCATTACAGTATTGGCGAGGTCGATATCGCTGCCCAGTGTAGCAGCTCCCATGTGGAAAAATGCAGGTTCTGGCTTGCCGACAATTTCCGCCTGGGAAAAGTAGATAACATCCGTTGTTTTAATCAACTTCATTTATCACATTTCCCTTCACTATTACGTGGTACCTAAGGGTGAGAAGCCCTGGTACTTGCACTTCGAAAAACAAACCTTAGCCCCAGTGGCATACTCTAATGCAGCAACGAACGGGCCTGGACCGAGAGCCAATCCATCTGCTCGCTTGTAGTATCTTCCTTTATGAACGGCGACCAGTTGCGCTCCTATAACAACGGATATTTTATAAGAGTCCTTTGAAAGAAATTCCTAAACTAAGCCAAAAGAAAAAAAAAACTTCACAATTTCAAACTAACTAATTGCACGGAGAAATAGTTATCAAACGGTCACATCAGCAGCCTTACACGATTGAGGCACACCTGCGCCGTTATAGCATGCCATTATAACTTACTACCTTATAATTGGCTGACATGGGTGGGAGCTCAAAACAAACGTAACAACAAGTACGAGTTAACAGTTGAGTTAACAAGTACGAAAAAATGTTAATAGAACAAATAAAAATGAAAACAACATGAGTATACATCTAAAAGGTGTTTGAAAAAACCGAGAGAACCAACCATTCAAGACAAGCTTGAAGGCGTCATTGAGCCTTTCAAAATGGAATTCGGACGGTGCTAATCCGACGACGACAGCATTCGGATTGGTTGTATTTATGCCTGGAACCATGGTCGACGGTCTACAACTGTTTGATGATGAATACCAACGAATTATTGACTGAAACTCATAAGAAGAAACCTTCGAAATCTTCCAGAGCTTCCTTAGCAAGCATGAGCATCGGGCGGAGCTTCCGCTCCTCGACCAACCTGCGTGCTGCTACAAGAGAAGTGAAAATCTCATCTTTCTCTATGCGGAAGCCACAGCCGGTAACACGTCGGTGCAGTACATTTATAGATTCCTGCAAGCTTTGAACAAAATCAAATCAATTGGCGACATCAGCTTATTCAACCTGTATCCTGAGAACAAATTTTCCTTTGAAGTTTCTATGGAGAAAACTTTTCTTTACAAGGTCTTAAAGCGAGATTGCTTACTTTTGTTGTATTTGTGACAAATTTCACTGGACGAGACTTTCGAAGTCGTTCCAAAGCCTCACTAGCTCTTGGAACAGCCATGTCTTCTATATGCAACGTCCCATTGAGATCAATAAGAGCTGCACATCTCTTGATCGCAGACATACTGGTCAACTGCAAAAAAATCATGCAAGCAAGTGAACTTCCGATGGTCTAGCTTTGTGCTTCGAAAGGGTGAGCCCGTGAAAAGTAACACGATGGATCTGATCATTCAGAATAGTAAAATGCACTAATTGAACAAAATGAGCAACAAAGGAAGTGCAAGGCTGCTGCTTCTG